TGGGTGGGCGGGTCCTTGAAAAAATAGTGAGGACAACTGACAAATTTGTAGAAGGTATACTGATATTGAGGAGGGTCCACCACCTTTCTCGATTAAGCTGTGAAGAAACAATTTGAAGAGGAAAAGACTGCTGCTCTTCAAAGAAGAAAAAAAATCAGAGAACCAATCTCCAAAAGCATAAGAATCAAACCTTATCAATAGATTTCTGAACTAGTTATTTATACTAATTATACGAAAATTACTGTAATATCAATCTAAATAAGATAAATGAGAGCATCAAGGGGGCCAGCTTGCTCCTGGGGGCTGAATTTCCTAAATCAGACTAGAAGGAAACTGGTTAGGATTGATTCTGCTCCTCTCAATTCTGCTTTGGACAGGTGTTAAGCCTGTGTCACTTGTACCGCCTCTTACATGTCTCAGGCAATGGTGAAGAGTATGTGTGGTTTTTTAATTGTTGGTTAAATATTTTTCTGCAAGGATTCTCGCAGCAGGTTTTGTTGCCTTGCCTGTCAAAGGTCAGGTTTTTTCCCTCTTCCTTCGATGGCTAATTTTACATATCGAGCGCACTCGCAATAGTTTTACCTGTTGAGTTTTGTGGTTGTGATATTCATGAAAAAGTTCTGCAATAATGAAATTTATGATAGGATTAATTTGTACGAGGTCATGGGCTTAATGCCTCTTGAAGAATATTTTGGGCCCTTTGTGTTGGTCATAGGAGCCTTAGCCTTTAAAATGGTAATAAGTGAGAAGAAGTAATGGGAGTGTTGAGATATGTGATTTGGAGAGTACCACGGACATAGTAAACAGTGAAATGAGATATGCAGCTCAGTGAGAATGAAACCCTGTGGATCATTGCAAGGTGTACTTGCCTATGAGTTCTGTGAACATAACAAGCCGAATGTATTTATGTTACCTTTGTGAAGTACAAAGGCCAACTAGTTGAGATTCTGCCAAGCATTTGATCTCAACGCCAAAATATAACTCCTCGTTTCACCTCCTCGATGGAGTCGAAGAGTGGGAGATGAAGCGAGGGGTCGACAACTCAAGGGGTGAGCTCAGTCTATAAACCATCATGAGATGAAATCGAGATTGAGAGAATTTGTAGCACATGCCAATTTCGATCATTAACGACTTATCTGGGGAGTTGATTGATGCATATAAAGTCACGAAGATATGAAGGGTGCGTAGGAAGAAAGTGGCGCTAGTGAGACTGTCAAAATTCTTGGACGATCCCGCACACGAAGGAGCCGAAGGAGAAGAAGCTGAAGGAGTGAGGTTATTGCGGTTTTTTACTGTTGTGTGAAACCTATCGCGCTCGATCGAGCCCCAACAGAGGAAGAGGATCCTTGTGCGATATAAAGAAGACGAAAGACTTCTCGTGAGTCCTGTGCGTGTGCAGAAAAAGAGGGGAAGGGTGCCCTAGCCGATCGAAGAAAGAAGAGAGGAAGGAGTTATCGTGCGTGCATGTAGGAGGCGGATCTCACTTTTCGTGAAGGGAGAAGGATTTATGCATGTGGGAAGGGTAGACAAAACATTTTAATGGTGAAGGTTTAAAAATATTAATTTATGATTTATTCTATTACTAATTATTAATTATTAATAGTAAGGTTTAATTAAATCAGGATTCAAGCTATAGAAGTTTTAGATTTGGATTGAAGAAAGGTTGGTGCCAGCAAGAAAGGTTAGGGTTTTATTTCCAAAAGCATTTTATATATATTAGTTATATTTAATATTAATATTAGTTGTAATTATTAAATTTGAATTTTAAATATTGAAGACTTAAATAAATTAATGCAATAAAATAACAATGAATAATTAAATTTAAACATGATTAATTAATGTTATATATAGTAAAATGAATATTTAATATTTTCTTGGTGTTATTTTGGAAGAGGTGATGAAAATTAAGAGCAAACAATATATTTATGATCAAGAGGAGTACTTATGTTCTTATGTTATTATATTATTTTTTTTTCTTTTAGGCTAAATACGTTTACTATTATTGTCATTAGTTATATTTGAATTACTACAAACTCACTATTTATGATTTTATTATATTTTTGTTCATATTGTAAGAATGTGTACTCAATATTTTTTTTATAAATATTGAATGTTATACAAATGGAAATGAATCAATCATTATTAGATAATGATTTTATAGTATGCTTGCATGTGTCTACTTGACGTTGATTGAGTCACCATTTTATGGTACTAACGTAAGAATGCTAAAGGTACTCATGCACGTAAATGGAAAACGATGTTGATATTGAAGTATCTCAAATGATTTAAATTTAGAAGAGGATTCTATAGCGGTTGTATATTGACTAAATCGATATTGATTTCAAACAATACAAGAAGATATAGTAAGTGTTTCGAATTACATTGAATGATCATATTGGATTGTACAATGATTCACATGCTCGTAGATTGATTTACATAAAGTTTAACTATTCTACATATGGAGTATGAGTTTTTACTGGCTATGATTAGTTCACTATTTTTCAAACTAACATTTTAGGTTTAATTAAGTGATTTAAAAGATGAGCGATAGAAGATCAAATATTTATAGAAGACGTGAACAACTAGTAATGATGAAAACTTAGTTATACTACTTAAATATTTGCTTTTATATAGTGACTATTTAATTTATTTAAATGTTAGTTATAGAAAATGAATATAAAAAAATTTAATTTCCACTGTCGGACCTTATGTACCCATCTTGGTCAATTCCAATTCTCGGGCCAGATCATGACACAAAAGCAAAAAAATCCTTGTGGCTTTGTGAAGGAACAACCTGATAATCAGTCTTTTGTGGGGCATGATCTTAACACAACTTCGGAATGAAGAAAAAAGGTTTTTGCAAAGAGAGCACAATGGCTCTGATTTGATGTCATGTTAGGACATTCTGAAAATATTTATTGACTGATAAATAATAATTACATATGCAAGGTTATATAAAATAATCACAATAGAAGTTCATTAATAGGGATTTAAGTCACAATTTCTCCTAAAAATGTGAATAAAATATTAGTCAATTTGATATAGTTGATTTATCACCAAAAATAAAATATCTCAATTGTATGTTAGTTAACTTGCTTAATTTTGACAGATATATTGAAAAACTATTATGTTAAGGGGATGGTGGGAGTTAACAGATTATTTGGTCATGTTGATATATGCTTCAAAATGCAGCAATGAATTGGATGTCTAAAATTAATTTTGTGTGGAGTGCGGAGGAAAACTTGTAGAGAGAAGGTAGAATGATAGAAGTTGTGCAATTGATTTGAGAAAAATATACAACTTTTGCAACACCCAATAGAAATGGATGGAAGATAATGGTTCATAAAAAACAAATTTTATTTAGCATTATATGACTTTATTTTGCTTGAAAATTATGTGCAGAAACTTGTAAGATCTCTGAAAAGTGGTCAGAATATTCCAACCATCCTGCAATCTTTGAGTTGTGTTGCACGCCATTCCTTTACATCGTACAAGCTTCATGAAAAAGAAGTAATCAACTTCGTTGTTCAGAATATTTTTGTTACTTCAGAGGTGAATTTATGAACCCTTTCATAATGTTTGTTGATCTGTAATGAAAAAAATGGTTATTCCAACTCTTTTAAATGTTATATGCAGGTGTACTCTGAAGTTGCAGAATCTTTTCTGAATGGTGATATCAGCTGCAGCAGTTCTTGCATAATGAAAGTAATTGACCTTGCTGCCCCTCAATGCATTGATATAAAAGTCATATATATATATATTGAAAGCCCAAAAAGGCTAATATATTAAATAGAAAGAAATATACAAATACAATGTGTGGGATGACCCACACATGACACCCTGCCCACACAAAAATCATAAATATTTCCAAAACTAGGAAAAAATAGAAAAATACATTAGATACTTAAATAAAAGACCTAACAGTGGCGAAATACATAGTATCAGGTGGCTATAAAGTTACCCAATTTGGTCTTGCCTCTGCCTCTAGTTCTAGGGTAGGAGCAAGCTAATAAGCTGGTAAGATGATTGCCATTGCCAGTAGTAACCAATGTATCATCCAATGTGTTTCCGAGTTGGAGTCGACCTCCATTCTTCTTCTTCATTCTTGAATAGACCTTTCATTCTTCTTCCGAAGTATCAGTCTGATGGGGTGGTAGAGCTGAAGTAGAAGGATTACCAACCGTAGTACCTACAATAGGTTTTAGTTAATGTGAAGTATGAGTTGCCTCTACACCGGATAATTCTTGAAGAAGTGGAGCTACGAGACTCTCTTGATTATCAGTCTGAACACTATTATTTGTAGGTAATAGTCCATCAGTATTGTTTTCTATGGGGTTTGAAGATGCTAGCGTCACATCACTCGCAGTAATAGTAACAGCAATGTCATTGGGGGTTCTTCAGGGGTAACAGACACCTCTTGTCTGGTAGTATCCTTCCTAGGTGGAACTAAAATGTCCAGAGCAGCGGAGTTAGACCCATCCTTATTCACTTGAACTTTAGATTTCAAATTTAGATGAAACTTGTGGCATTTATCAAGGACATGACTAAGCATCTTACTATGAGTACAATATAAATTACGATTTGTTGCCAATAACTATTATGGGTTGCTCCCAGCCAGACTTCAATAACATCAGGTAAAGTAATATCCCTTTGCACAAGTATTCTGACCACCGAGGGTCTGGTTAGGTTGAAAGTAGGCAGATCTAGCTTCAAAGGATCCCCATGGATGACCCCAATAGAGTAAAGAATCTGATGGTTAAAAAATGCAGCTTGAGACCAGGTAAACTAAATCATACCGGTACAGTGGAAGTTTCATGATTTGGGTCAAAATTCGGAGATCACTTGAGTAACTTCATAGGTTTACCAACAAGGTTAAGATATTTTGTTGGAGAAAATCCAAGTGTAGTTTTCGGGCACAGTTAACTGAATCAAAACATGTCTTCCATTCATGAGTCCCACTTTTCACTTTTCTGCTAATTTGAGGTCATCAAAACTTTTCCTGATAACCTCCATAGGTGGGTGTCCCCACTGAAATTTTCCAATGAGAGCAAACTTGAATTTGTCAGTCAGGGTTGAAATTTCTGACTCATAGAAAATGAGTGTTGCCTTCACACTTTTTCTGTTTGCATTCTTAATAAAAGGACAGTCACTTGTACCATCACGATTCTCCTTATAACTTGAGGGGAACACAACTGCCGTTTCCCCCTGAGGATTACCCACAACGTTGGTAAATGGGGTTTTGTCAGGTTCAACCGAAGAAAAAGGAGGCTCCATCACAGTAAGGAGAAGCTCTGCAAGTCGGGCAGAGGGCCGAAGAGGCCGGGGCGCAGCACAGAAGACAGTAAACCGCAGATATGAACTACAGATTTGCTTGATAGAGTCGAAACCTCAGTTTGACAAAAGCTGCGCAGAAGAACCGCAGCGAGACGACGCCGCAGAAGCAGGAAACGAAGCCGCAGAGCGCGATCGGCCCTACAAAGAGCAGCGAGCATAGGTGCAGCTCGACGAAGCAGATGAAAGAAATAGAGGAGCGTACCCCCCTTCTTCTACGAGCGTGTAATTACAGCGGCAGAGGCTAGGGTTCGCTGTGAGGCAAAACCCTAGCAGAGCTCAACGAAGCTTGAGAGGATAACTATATATAGATATATATGAATTTTGTCAATTATTTTGTTCCCCGTAAAGCAAGATCTCAGAGGTTTGAAAATCCGATCATGGATTCTACAACCAAAACGCAGAAGGCAGTCGGCGGCCAAGAGAGGAGGGCTGAAGTAGAGGGTCACCTAAAGTATTAAGGATGGTCTTCAGCTCCCCGTAGCCGCATTGCTCGCTATATCAAGAAGGACACGGACGCTCCTATTTACCTCACTGCTGTCCTAGAGTACCTTTCAGCTGCAGCTAGAGACAACAAGAAGAATTGGATAATGGAGATCACTTGAGTAACTTCATAGGTTTACCAACAAGGTTAAGATATTTTGTTGGAGAAAATCCAAGTGTAGTTTTCGGGCACAGTTAACTGAATCAAAACATGTCTTCCATTCATGAGTCCCACTTTTCACTTTTCTGCTAATTTGAGGTCATCAAAACTTTTCCTGATAACCTCCATAGGTGGGTGTCCCCACTGAAATTTTCCAATGAGAGCAAACTTGAATTTGTCAGTCAGGGTTGAAATTTCTGAC